AAGTTGCATTTGGCCTCTGGTGTTTAATGAACATTACAGCCTCACTGGGGCGCCAAGCGTGGATGTGGACGTATTGATTGTTAAAAATGTATCGTTAGCGGCATCATAGCGTGTTGGTGTGTGTTTCAGGGCGCAGCGGCGGTGGATGGGCGTCTGAAACGAGGTGACCAGATCCTGTCGGTGAACGGAGAGAGTCTGCAGGGAGCGACACACGAGCAGGCGGTCGCCATCCTGAAGAAACAGAGAGGAACAGTCACACTGGACATCCTGTCATAACACACACACACACACCTGCATGCACACACCTGCACACACACACCTCACGTGCTCCTGGGACTCGATAAATCACAGACTCTTGGACTACATATCATCGTTATGGATCATGAACTGAACTTCCCAACATGCAAAAAAAGAGACCCAGTAACCAGTACAACTGATGTCTGACGCCACTTCAACACCCACAGAGTTTCTCCACCTGAAGCACAGATGGGCTCAAATCCTGGTGTTTGTTTGGGTCTGAGGATGGTGACATATTTACATTAAATGTATCTTTTCTTCCAGCACCACCAAAACCAGTTTAATTCCACAAATACTCAAATCTAATGTGCAGAATGAATGAACATTTGTGTATTCAAAAAGCTTCAGAATAAGAGCGATTTCTTTTTTTTACAGTTGAGCAAGCCTCAAATCATCACGTAGTTCCATTTCTCAAATATTATCTGAATATTTGTTGGTTTTGGACTTTGGAGATCTCACCTTGAACTGAGGCTGATGATTCGATAGGTAAAATAATATTTAGTTGCAGCCCTGAAATGAAATACAGTTTATCTTCAAAAGTTTATCTTCAATGGAAATCCATCAAATATTTGTTGAGAAGCGTCAACCTCACAGTGGTGTTAGACAAGACCTCGCCTGAATCAATAGGATTCATCATCAGGAACTCATCAATGTCCAACAGTTGTCAATATATTTCAAACTGACAGTCCTAAAACAAACAAACTGGAAAAGGAACAATTCAGAATACTGTGTGAGAACAAATAATCATCATAATGGAGCGACATTTAAACTTAGAGGAACAAAAGGGAAGTGTCGGTGAAAATATCTCTGTTCACTGACACTGTTGCACACATTAGCTTAGCATCTCCTCTGTGGTAAAACTGCTTAGCTGTTAGCCACCAAGTAGCAGAATTATAAATGTGGAAACCACCGGAGACGAGTAAACTGTAAGAAAACTGTTTTTATCCAACAAACTTTTAAAGAAACAGCTGCTATAGCAAAAAGGACTTTTCATTTTCATTCTCAAATTGGCAGCACCTGACCCTTCCTAAGCCCCGCCCCCTTTTTGCTCTGTGTTGAGCAAGCCTCGGTCAACTTCCTCCTTTCCTGAACTGACATAGGCTATGTGCTAGGCTAATCTATATTTGATGGTTAAAGATGGTTAAAAGATAAAAGACATATATATACTGATGTAGATTAACTAGCTAGAACAGAGCAAAAAGGGGTGGAAAATTTAATTTCAGTAGGATTAAATTATTTTGTTGTAATATTGGCACTCACAGGCCTCCAGATGAAATGTAAAAGTGCTCAGCACATTTGAAAAGAGGGGAAATCCAGTCTGACCCATGTGTTAATCGGATCCTCCCCTGGGTTCATTGTTTTCTGTTTTTACTTTTTAAAGAAAATCTGCTGTTACAGCAAGGAAAGGAAATTAACAGAATAGAATCAGAAAAACAACAATTTGGCTGAAAACTGGTCTTCTGAGCTACTTTGACCACCAGAGGACCAGAAAAATAAAAACGTAATTATTTCAAGTTAAAACTTGGAAATGTCGAAAACAATGAGCCTTAATTAAAACTAATTAAGCCCTAATTAAAAATTTCATAACAGACAATATTAAAATGTTCCTTCATAATAGAGATACACTTGAAAAAGTTTCCTTTAAGTTCAAAATTATGTTAAATCACATAATTCAGCTCGTTAAAGAGTCCTAATTATTTAAACAAGGTCTTAAGTTCTTATAAAAAGTGCCATAATTATTCAGTTCAGAGAACACAACAGATATTAAAGATTAAACTCTACTAATGAATCCACACGATACACACAAACATTATATAAACGTTAAATACTCATGTGTCTCCATGGAGATGACTCTCAGGACTGGGTGGGCTTGGAGACCCCCTGTCGCCCCCGGCAACAGATACAGTGTCTTCCACATGGTTGTTGTCATGAAGACAAAAGTTTGAAAAATGTGTCTCCATGGAGAAAATAAAACTTATTAGAAAGGCTTTCTAGAAGCAGGCGTGAATAAAAAGCAACAGAGCGACATTTCATATAACTCTCTTGTTCTCCACGGCGTGTTTAGCCTAGCTTAGCACAAAGACTGGAAGTGGGGGGAAACACACGACTCCAATGCTCAAACCAACAACCCCAGAATTGTTTGTAATATATTAAGATGTTTTGATTTATGTAGTGCTTGGATTAAGGGTTTTTTATGGGGCAGAAACACCTTAAAATGTGCCGTTTAACACGCACCCCTGAATTTGTTACGGTGGAAATTAAGGATGTCTTTGTTACAAGGGAAATGTTACAGGGTTTACCCCAGATTTGGGTTAGTTAACAGATTCTGATATTATTATAATATTTATGTTATAATATTGCATTTTTTTTTTTTTCTGGATTAAAAGGGTTGAAAATGTATAAAGCCTGTTAAAATTGGGTTAATTAATGGTATTTTAAAGGAACAAAGGTATTCAGTTACAACAGTAACAGTTGTTAAAACCTATGTTTCCTTTTACATTTTTATATTTTTACAACTCATCAATAAAAAAAGACATAACATGTAAATCAGACAGATTTGAAGTTGTTGGAAAGGTGGATTTTTTTTAGAACCGTTTCCCCCTGCTTCTAGTCTTTGTGCTAAGCTAAGCTAAACAGACCTATCTTTAGCTTTATCCTCTGCTGGATTCACTTTTATTTTGGCACAATATTCAAATTCACTAAGCTAAAAGATCTTTAATCTTATATCTGTCCTCACTTTTATTAGCTAAGGCCGTTGCTAACGCACTTTCCGTTGGGCTACAGCAGCTCTTCGTAAATCCTTTAAATCCGTTTAAGTCCGTCCTAAGTTAGCTGCTAACTATAAACTATGATTGGTTGCTAGGAAACATCTGTAATGCCGTCCAATCAAGAGCAACCAACAATATAAACTGGAAGTCACTGTAGCGTCACAAGCTAGCATAACATCCAAAAATTTATTTTTTTCTAAAGGCTCATAAGATAATTCTTTGTAAATGTAGTTTTATTTCTGTCTGTATACTTGGAGAAATGTGTATTTCACAGTTAGTAGTGTTTATCCAGTTAATAATGAGAAGAAACAATGCTAATGCAATGCTAAGCTAATGGACGGTTACTCATTTAGTCAGTTTTTCATAATTTGAGGTATGTTTTGTGAAAAGTAATCTTCCGGATTGAATCATTATTAAACACAATTTATCAAGTAGAACGAGACTAATTTAAAAACCTAACACACTCTCATCCAACAAAAGCTGATTGCAGGTTTAATTTCTGTATTGTGTTTATTCTGTATTTCTGTATTCTGTTTCAGATTCAGTGGATTTGATGAAATGCTAACAAACATTAGCTGGAGAACAAGGATTTACTGAAATGTGAGACTGTTGCTTTCTTATATTTTACAATGTGAAGGTAGTTGTGCGTTAGCAGAGTTTCGCTAACGTTTAGTTCGATACCACAGTACTCTGTTCAGATATTTAGGTTAATTGAACTATTTAGCAGCAGCTGTAGGCGAACAGTTTGTTTCTGAGGAAATTATCTGTTGAGCTTCCTGTACTTTATACATATCAATCAAGTGCAAAATACTTAATGTTCAGCTTTTTGTTGCCATAATTACTGTCTTAATTTTTGGTACTTTATTTGTAGATGTCACAGAAGAACTGTAATTTATTTTTTGATTGCTGGAAATTAACAATGTCTTTTTTGTTGTTTTATTTTATGTTTCTTGTATCACAATGGAAACCCTGCAGCTTCTGTTTGTCTTCACACAGGAGTCAAAAACCAGCTGGGGTTGCACTTTATTTTACATAATTTCATCACGTTACCTGGAAAGAACTGTCATTTGGTTGTATTTATAGAGAAAATACAGTTAGTGTTCAGTTGAATCTTTTAGTCAGAGCACAATAAAGGAATAATGAATTGCTACTCTTTGAGGAAAATTACTTATCAAAAAAAGCTAATCAAATGTGCCGTTGTAACTGGATTTGTTTGCATTTCAAATTAGCACCATTAAAAGTCAGCCGAATAAGTTGTTAGCAGCTCCTGTTTGCAGGAAACCCATGGATGTACGGACAACTATCACTGGATTACTTCGATACTGAAGAAAACTTAAAAATGTGATGATTCTCAGGCAAGTTCGGCAGTGTGTTTTTTCAAATGTTTATAGTGGACGGACATCAGAGATATAAATGTGTGTTTCATGTCTGTGTGTTCACATTTGACTGATTATGATTTTTGACTTAAATTCACTTCCTGCAGTATCTTTGCCTTCCACTGCTTCTGTCTTTCTCTTTAGTCTTTGTCCTGCTGAATCCTGTAGTATGACCAGGGTTACAATAATCTGAAATCCACGGAAACATCGCTTTTTGACGACACTAACTTCAGGTTGGACCACAAAAATACCTCCAGGCTTGAGAAGTAACAGGTTACATGTAACTTCAGGATACCAAAAAAAAGGAACTTTAATCCATGTCATCAGAAAAAAAGACGTAATCAGATTACAGCTATATTTAGTAAAAAGGTGATTATTGGGGTTATATTAAAATACATCACAGTACATTTCAAATTCTGCCTTCCAGCTGTGAAAATGGTCTGTAAACTACTGCCTGAATTTATTTCATGAAAAGCAAGTTTTTCTTTAAAAATGTACAGAGTCAAGGACACATCGTTGATGCTAAAACATCTTTCATTTTCTTTCTAAGGTTAAATCAATCTGTTGTTTTATAGAATGGTTAGGGTTAGATTTTGATTTTTTCCATCATGAACTTCTTTAGTCTACTCATCGATTTTCTTAAGTTGATCTGATTAATTGTCTGGGAGTAGTTTGTAACGTAAGATCTGGAAATGGCAGTAATGGTGCCAAAATTGAAATTTGAACATTAAATTTAAAATGGCTGTCTTCATGTTGGAGCTTTTTGTTCATCTTCACATCATACATAAGCCCCCAACAAACAAAATAAACTGTGATGTGATTAAACGAATGAAATAAAGCTACATGCATTATACAGTACATTATGCATTATACCTCTGCCCTGTATCTAAAGCAATAACCGCTCCCTGTATGTAAACCATTACCATCTGCCCTCGTATCTGAAGCACTAACCTATACCCTGTATCTACAGCATCTGTCTAGGAAATAAGTGTCAACTGATTGGACTTCACTAAAACTTGAAAAAATGAAATAAAGTCAATAATATAATTAGACAGTATCATCTGTTTATTTATTATAATAATCAAACAGACAGTATAGACCTCTGACCTGTATACAGCACTTACCTATTAAGGGCAGTTGGTTATTAATTTTGTCTCTAATAGTAATAATTTTGTCATAAAAGAAGCTCACAAAGTTGTTGCTACTTAAATTTATGGGGATATGTGGCTCAATA